GCTCGCTGCACCCGCACTGCGAGGGGGACCCAAGTTCCCATCAGCAAAAACACGTCGGTTTGCTATCCTGGCTCCAAAATGGTGGAATGAGCTCCCCATTGACATCAGGACAGCAGAAAGCCTTCACATCTTCCGGCGCAGACTGAAAACTCATCTCTTTCGACTCCACTTCGAGAAATAAAATGACTAACAAAGCACTTATATACTAATAAAGGACTGGCTTATCTAAAGCCAGTTGAGTAGCACTTGAAATGTTTTGGCTCTATGAAACCTGATGTACTTATATGATTCTGTTTTCTTCAAGTTTGTATCTTCTTGGTCGAATGCACTTATTGTAAGTCGCTTTGGATAAAAGCGTCAGCTAAATGCAATGTAATGTAATGTAATGTAATGTAATGTAATGATTAATGAAAGGGTGTCAGAGGCCTCGGTGTGGTGAGACAAGGAATTCCTAACTTTTCACATGGAATTCACAAATTATGGTAAATATGTGCATCTTACAATATGTTTTTTCTCCATTCCTTTAGCTTTTACATTAACAAACACAGACACACACACACACACACACACACACACACACCTTTCTACCTGACTAATGAAGCCCATTAGACTGGATTTTTGTCAGGAACTTTACACAACAAACATCAGCACATTGCTCTCTTATGCATTGCTCTCATTAAGAATTCACACCTTCTTGTGTTCATGTCAGATGATCTCAAACTCTCATCTCAGAGGGATCCTCCCAATCAGAGGTGTAAAGGACATCATCCATGCTCCAAAGCAAACATATGATGTAAGATCCAAACATCAACACATGATGAAAACTCTGTGAGGAGATGAAAATAGTTATCATCCCATGATGGAAGTTGCATCTTCCACTGAAAAGACAAACTTATGAATTATACATTTTATGCAGTTGCAATTCATTTAAAAAGTTTAAAGTGCATAAGCCCGCAGCAAATATTTAGATAACACCCCCTCTTGTGTTTGTTAAAATCTGAGCTTCTTTGTGATTTGTTTTGTACCTGCGCCGGCCACTCGTGCATGTTGGTGCGAGTCCCTTGCTGTGTCTCAATTCAAATACTTCCCTTTGAACGCTGTCTTGTTAAATAATGTAAACACTTGAGCATTGCGTGAATTTCAACCAGGTAGCGTTGTCTCAAATCGCACATGGATGCTGTGCCCTACACAGGATTGATGCTAGATAGCTAGCTAGGGAGCAACATTTGCTGTACCAAATCATTACATTACATTACATTACAGTGACTGCTCAATAAACTTTAATACAATGAACAGTAGCTTCCTTTTAACAACAGTTTGAAGGTACTGCTTCATGAAAAAAGCCAACTTTATAACTTTTATGTGTTGAGTTTTTTTAACTGTTCTTGCTGTTAGCACCATTAGCTTAGCCCTTACCATGTTGAGATCTGCATGGAGCCAATCACAATGTTTTGAATTCTGTACAGAGAAATTAAAATAAATGCATTATGTGTTTTAACACTGTAACCCTTATGAGATACAGATGCTCAGAAGAGGCCTCCTGATGATGGATTACCTTACAAATGCAAATGCTGAAAACCAATGCATATGTCATACTTTCTACATACATATATTTATTTTTTAAAGTATTCATTACAACTTCAAGTACAAGTTTACAAGTAAACAGGAGTCACTATAACATCACAGCTAGCATACATGTAAAACATTTTTAGTGATGCAAATGATAATCAAGATGTATGTTCTGGATGTAGGTATGACCTTGAGTTGTTAATGTCAAAGTGCTTCAGATTCAGATGATAGAGTACTTAAGAAAAGACGGAGAAAAACTGAGCACAAGTAGACTAAGGAACAGTGGCCATGCTCGTGAACCTGCTATATTTACATCAGTATATTTACAGGGGACCTATCATGCAAAATGCACTTTTGTACGTCTTTTATACATGAATATGTGTCCCCGGTGTTCCAGGGAACTCACCAAGTGTCAGAAAAGACAACCCTCTCTATTTTCCTCCATACCCAAATCTCTAAAAAAGGGGCTGCAACGGATCTGATAAAAACTGATCCAGATTTGAACACTGTCCTGACGTCAGGATAGTGGCGCTACGGCTATTGGGCCAACTCCACCAATCAGGAGGAGACAGCCACGGCCATTGCCGTTCGAAAGCGCTGGAGACGCTGTAGTACATATGCCAGGCCTGTAGATGGTGCTGTTCTCACAGAATCTGCCCTTGCAAAAACAGAGCTAAAAAATGTCAAATTAAGCAAAATGAGGCATGGCTAAAATGCATGATCTGTTTGGTATTTTGAAAAAAAAAAGTATAAATATGCCTTATATAGGTATGGTCCTATACTATATTATTCAAATATAGCATAATAGGTCCACTTTAAGTTTGACAGCTGGAAAGTTCAAACAAATGACTTGAGATGCTTTTGTTTCTTTTCAGGCATTCCCACACCCTCACTGACATGTTTGCAATGCCTGCAGTTCACAGACCGTCAGACACCGGCTGCTTTTCTTTTGTGTCAGCCTACTTGTGTCTCATATTCACTGTGAGCGTGAGAAGAGTGATCTGTGTTTCTGTTCAATGAGACTCATTCCTGCTGCAGACAGTGAGTGAAAAACTCATTACCAGATTTCTATAAGAATAATTGTGTGTGAGGATTTGCAGTAGGCCCATTATATCTTTATTTTTCTTAAAAGTTATTTTGCCAATATTATTATCCTGCTCTAGCATGTGACACATATTTATTTTAGAATACATAACATGACCTCTATAAACCTTAATTTGAGATGTTATTGTTATAAATCATACCCATATCTTCACTTTTTTTGGACATAGGAACTATACATATACTGTACATGCATGCATTTTCTGTATAGCATAGTTATTTATCAATACACTTACATTTATATCATGTCTAAATATAAAACATTTTTGGCTTTTAGTTTGTAAGAAAATGTTGCATTGATAGAAAAAAAGTTTAAAATTCATAATAAATTGCAATATATATATATATATATATATATATATATATATATATATATATACATATCCAATAAAATCAATAACATCAGGGTGCCACATTGCATACATAATACAAGCATGTTCGCTTTAGACAGTCTCTGTCTCACCCTGCTGTTTATCTGCAGTTGTTGCAGGCCTTTTCCACTCATTTACAATAGAAATATTTGCAATTATGATAACAGCGGCATGAAAAACACCCCCTCATTACATGATGAGGCCGAAGATGAAGCACGATGGCTACCCACAGTAGATGTCCACAGGTGAACATGGCCGAGGAGCTTTCCGCATTTCTACGTATGTGGAGTTCTCAGGATCTGTGTCGCTGCACTGAAACACAGAAACAGAAAAGCAGCACATTTATTACTGTTTTATTCTCTTAGTCATGTAACTTAATGAGTAAAAACAAGCCCCCAGTGCTAGTGAAATAGGAATTAAAACAATATTGTAACTGCCATAAAGAAAAACTTAGTTCAGTTCAAAAGTGAGTAGGAAATCAGGTTGACAGAGAAAGTAGAAATTGTAGGGAGTAACTTATAGTTTTATAGACCATTCCTTATTTTGCCAACATTTGGGAGGCATTAGTATTGATATTGTGGATCCTAGTAAATCATTTATTGCCCTGTCTCTGTGTTTTCCCGCCTGTCTGATGGTCTGATTATTTTCACCTGCTACTCATGTGTTTCTGCCTGTCCTCCCCAGCTGTGTCTTGTCTTTGTGATTTGTCCTGTGTGTGTATATGAGTCTGTCTTGTGTTCGTTGTCTTTGTTTCTGTCTGGTTCCGGATGTGTGGTGTTGTTTTGTACCTGCCTGATTCCCTACTATTCAATATAATCTTCATATATCTTAAGAAATAAACCATGAGCGTATGCATTACGTCTTGCATTTAGTTTTTACACTTCAAGTCATATTCATCTCGATGCTAGAAACTCTAGCAAATGTCACAAAAAGCTCTCTGGGAATTACCCTCCACCGGCTTCACACATGAGTCAAAGGTTTCCCAGACTTTTTGTAGCTGTACCTCCTTTTCTTTGTCAAAGTTTGCATCATACTCTGCCGGTAGCTTGTGCATTTTTGTGCCAGTAGGGTGTAATGCAGGCAACGACAATGATGACAGATTGATTGATTAACATATGATACAAGGTGAAAGCCCTCTCTAGCCTGTCAATCAAATGTGGGACATCATCTCAATTTGCGTCTGTCACAGCTTGGCAAGGCGGGAAAACACAGAGACAGGAAGTGAAACAAGATAGGAGAAAATACATTTAAAAATAAAACAGGAAACCCAATCAACCCCAGGATTATGACAGAAAGACAGGTACCGTCAGTCTGATGTAGAAAGCGGTGATGAGACAGCTGTACAGGAACATCAGAGCCAGCAGACCAATCAGAATCCAGCTGAGCAAATGAGATGGAGGTGAAGATGGAGGTGAAGATGGAGGTGGAGGTGAAGTTGGAGGTGAAGGCGGAGGCTGAGGCGCGCAGGTCACTTCCTTTTGACCTTACAAAAAAATGGAAATACAATTTCCTGTTTGTATATTACTGGTTTAAACATCGATTCAGTGTTGAGGTGTTGGATCAGTAGCACAAACTCAAATACAGCTTCAAGTTAACAACATCCCGAATGAACAGAGATGTATTTAGAAAAGAAATATTTTAAATAAACCCAATATCAAATTTGAGTATTTTTGAGTCTGACACATAATTTATTCAATCAACATTTGAATACTACTGACAGTTACTTTATAGAATATAAAATGATATGTTAAAGAAAGTATTCAGACATGTCACAGAAAAAAACATTACCACATTGTAAATAACTCATATTACAAGTAAGTAAAAAGATCCCTGAGCTATAAAAACATAAAGGAAAAGTAAATTACAAGTTTCTTAGTTTTGTATTTTAGTAGACTCACTATGCATTTCACATAAACATTGTATTGTGTTGTATTTCCTCATTGCCTTGTATTTACATACCTGAAAGGAGTATGGTTGCATTTCCTAACTTGGTTTTATCCAACCCGCCTTCTTCCACCGTGAACTCACACTCGTATTTCATCTTCATGGCCTCTGGCTCGATGTTGAATAGGATGAAAAGCCACTTGTTGGGATCCTTTTGATGCATGATGATGTCTTTACAGTCTTGCATTCCCTTCTGGCAGAGCATTGTGCTTGTGCCTGTTCTGAGAGAGGTTAAAGGAATATTTTTGTGATACATTTTAGGAGATTTTATCCCTTTTCCACCGCAATTGAAAGATGAGAAGGCCAAACCAGGCCAAGAAAGGTTCATGACCTCCATCAAAATAAAACTTAAAAATACATTTGAAGAGTTAAGTAGTGAGTAAGCTAATGGAGGTCCATGTTATATGTAAATAGATGTAGTTATTAAGAGTAAAAAAAGGGGGTAAATTGGCAGAAATGTGTAATTATTAATTGAATTTGTATCAAATAGTTTGAATTTATTGTGTAACTTGAATAATTGCATAAAACAGCTGAATAGCATAATTTGAATGCAGTTAGTTTGGAACTGAAATGTAATAAACAAATGTAAACAATAAAAATTAAGAATAAATAAACAAATAAAGTAATAACTAATTAAAAAAGTAATGAGTATGAACCAAAGGATTGCATTTGGAAATAACTGGTGAATGTATATAGTGTGATGGAGAACATGTAATGTTTTGCAGATAGATAAGTATGAGTGTAATAATAAAAGTGACATGGTGTTTGAGCTTTTACCTTTTAATTGACATAACTTAGTCAAACAAGCTGGGCCTGAGACAAGAGAATGATTTCGAGTTACTTTAATGTTCATTTCTGGGTAAAAAAGGTTTATTTAGCTTGTTTTTTTAGCTTCATTGTTTGTTTCATGTGTGTAGTTTTTAACAATAATTTCATCCTGATGATAATGGGTATCGTTAAGACTCATATGGTCCTTGTGAATCTCTTCTAATGCATCGGACTGTTCCGCACAGCTAGAGCACCTCATGATCTCATGTCGGGCCTTCCATCTGCCGAGGGAATTCACATCTGTTGTGATAACAGCAGTGTATATCCCGCCGCAGCCACTCGCCGACAACAACACGGCACTCGATCAGCTGTTTGGGTTTATTGATAAAACCGAGACTTCACGGCCAGATGCGGCGTTCGTTGTGGCCGGAGATTTCAACACCACCAACATGAAGAAGGTTTTGCCAAAATATTACCAACACATCAACTTCCCGACGCGCGGGGGAAACATACTGGACCATGTTTATTCCCCTTTCCGGAATGGATATAAGGCTCTCCCTCGCCCTCCCTTCGGCAAATCAGACCATATCTCACTACTGTTGTTGCCTGCTTACAAGCAGAAACTTAAAAGGGACAGACCGATAACAAGGACAGTACAACGATGGAGCGAGGAGTCAGATTCAGCACTGCAGGCAGTGGCGGCCGGTCCATAGGGGCGCTAGGGGCGCCGCCCCACCTCTTCCCATATTGAAAAAAAAAAAAAATAATAATAATTAAAATTAAAATAAAAAAAGAAAATATGTTTAAAACAATATATATGTTTTTATTTTTATTTTTAATGAACAAGGTAAATATTATATAATTGGTATCAGTAAAATGTATAATCTACAATAAAATCTCGTTTAAAATTGTGTTACGATGTCTAAAATTACTGATAAGTCACATGTTTCCTGCCTGGACTTGCCCATGCACCTTCTCTCGTCTGGGCGCTAAGAGAGGAGCCTTCAACCAGTGCAGCAGCAGCCACCAGCAGCTGACTGTTGCTATCTGTAACGTGTAAACTATGCCGCGAAAATATAATTTCAGCCAATCAGCGTCGTCAAAGATGACGGTCACCGGGCGCCAATGTCAGCGCCCAGTGCAGTCTGTGAGTAGTTTGGACAGTGACTCGTATCCGGTTGACGCAGTAGTTGATGAGGATGGCTTCGTGTGCAGGTGGAGTCTCCGGACCTCGGTCCCCGGCTAATTCTGTTCAAGAGCTAATCTCCAATCCTTTCGAAAGGAGAAGTTTGGCAGATAAATTGTTGCTTAAAGACCTTGCACCGGACCAACCCGATTTGAATATATCGCAGCAATCTCGTGAAAAAGACAACATTTATACACGAGGCTTCACAAGTAGCTGGTACACAAGAAAGGCTTGGCTAGCTGGATGCAAACAGGTAAATGCTGTCTTTTGTTTCCCATGCTTGGATATCACTTTATATGTAGAGAGGAGGTTTCCCATGGTTGTTAGAAGTTTATTAATAAGTGGGCATTTATCACAGAAGTGATTGTTCTGTCTCCACGTTTGTTGCATTGTCTGTGATGTATTTTCCAACGGTTATAGCTCCTGTTCTGTCCCAGCAACACTACACGGTTTGCAGCTCCACCACATTTTTGGTTTATCTTCGGTGTCGCTTAAAATCTGCTTCCCATCGGACTAAAACCTCCACGTAATCTGAAGACAGATACTTGAAGTTATTTAAACCTTTTGCAAACTTTATGTTCTTTCTTGCTCTAGCCTTGCCAGTTACATTGTACATAACACATATATTATCATTATGCTAACTGGTTGTTCGTGTTAGACGATGTAGCTTTTTCATTTCTGAGTTATTGCTATATGTAAATAAGCCTGTTTGTAAATAATCCTCAGAGAAACAAAGAAAAAACACAATTTATGACATTTTGTGCTGTGGTTATTTTTTTTAAATTGCATTTATTCACAGTTCAGTTTGAAATGCTGTAGTGACTTGTATTGAACCACTTAAATATTTATAATTAATGCTACTGAAAAGATGCTATTAATTTTATATCTCACATGCAGTTCACTGTAAAGCTACTTGGTGAAGGTGTTGGTTCATAAAACATGAACAGTTTTAAGAAAGAAAAAAACAGACCAGTTCTGAGAACACAAATTCCTGGTAAAGTAGTAGATGTTCAGGTTGATAAATAATATTTTCCACACTGAAGATTATGGAGGTATTGATCAGTCTTCTCCTATTTTTAAGCCTCGATTTCTCCTTTCCCCCCCCCTCTAACATCACCAGAAGTCATCATTTAAGGGGTCATTTCTCGAAAAAAATGTTCGGGGGGAAACCCCCCGGACCCCCCGGGTAGGTCACTTACGGTACGTCAAGAGCCCCACCAAAAAAAAAGACCACCGGCCGCCACTGACTGCAGGATTGCTTTGCATCTACGGATTGGAGTGTGTTTGAGGACAATAACATCAACACACACACGGACACTGTTATCTGCTACATTGGGAAATGCATCGATGACGTGTTACCGAAGGTTTCTGTACGGACATTCCCAAATCAAAAGCCCTGGGTAAACGGTGAGGTGCGCGGCAAACTGAAAGCGCGCACTCTCGCGCACACAGCGGGAGATTTGGAGGAGTACAGGAAGTCTAGGTATGATCTCCGGAGAGCAATAAAAAATGCAAAGAGACAGTACAAAGAGAAGGTGGAATCTGACTTCAAAGGCTGTAACACTAGGAATATGTGGGCGGGACTAAGGACAATGACTGACTACAAAGGAGCAGCGGGGGGTGCTGCGGGAGTGTCTGCGTGCGCATCTCTCCCAGATGAGCTAAACAGTTTTTTTGCACGCTTTGAGAGCAGCCAGGCTGTGGAGGTACAGAGGGACCAGGAGCTACACTGCCCTTTTGTTTTAAATAGGGCAGATGTGTGTAAATCCTTTAAAAGGGTTAACCCACACAAGGCTCCTGGACCTGATGGCATCCCTGGCCGTGTTCTCAGGGTGTGTGCAGTTCAGCTGGCAGAGGTGTTCACAGACATCTTCAACAGGTCCCTGCTGCAGTCTGTAGTCCCCACATGTCTTAAACACTCCACCATCATTCCTGTCCCCAAAAAGACAATCATCACCTGCCCCAACGACTACCGCCCAGTAGCACTCACCTCCATCATAATGAAGTGCTTTGAGCGGTTAGTCAAATTATTCATCACCTCCTCCCTCCCTGAATCTCTGGACCCCCTGCAGTTTGCCTACAGAGCAAACAGGTCCACAGACGACGCCATAGCCCTCACCCTCCACACTGCCCTCTCACACCTGGACCCGAAGAACAGGAACACATATGTGAGAATGCTGTTCATTGACTACAGTTCAGCATTCAACACCATTGTGCCCTCCAAGCTGGCCATCAAGCTCAGAGACCTCGGGCTCAACAGCGCCCTCTGCGACTGGATCCTGAACTTCCTGACGGGCAGACCCCAGGCAGTGCGGGTGGGAAATATCACATCCTCCACCCTGATTCTTAACACCGGTGCCCCTCAAGGCTGCGTGCTCAGCCCTCTCCTCTACTCCCTGTTCACCCACGACTGCGTGGCCACACACAGCTCCAACACCATCGTGAAGTTTGCTGATGACACGACCGTCATCGGCCAGATCACAGACGATGACGAGACGGCATACAGAGAGGAGGTCGAAAACCTGACATCTTGGTGCCAGGATAACAACCTCCATCTCAACATCAGCAAAACAAAGGAGCTGATTGTGGACTACAGGAAGCAGCAGGGAGAGGGACACGCCCCCATCGCCATCAATGGGACTACGGTGGAGAGAGTCAAAAGCTTCAGGTTCCTTGGGGTCCACATCACTGAGGACCTGACATGGTCTCTTCACACCACCACCATCACCAAGAAAGCTCGACAGCGGCTCTTCTTCCTCCGCAGGTTGAGGAGGTTCAAAATGGATTCCAGGATACTCTGCAACTTCTACAGGTGCACGATAGAGAGTATCCTCACTGGCAGCATGACGGCCTGGTACGGCAGCTGCACCGACCTCGATCGTAAGGCTTTACAGAGGGTGGTGAAAACTGCACAGCACATCACCAGGACGGAGCTGCCATCCATGGAGGACCTTTACTCCCAGCGGCTCAGGAAGAAATCACTACGGATTATCAAAGACCCCCATCACCCCAGCCACAAACTGTTCTTTCTGTTGCCGTCTGGCAGACGTTACCGCAGCATCCGGGCAAGGACAAGAAGATTCGGAGACAGTTTCTTCCCGCGGGCAGTGAGACTGTTAAAAAATTGAACTGTTGAAACAACTTCAAACATTCAACTGCTACTCAGTAGTATGTATCTAATACCTAATATATATATATATCATTCCAATAACTTGTATATAGACTCATACTGCACTATTCCACATCATAACTTTATTTCATTTTTATAACTATTATTATTTTTGTATTGCTCTTGCTCTTATTGTTATTATGTTATGTTATTATGTTGCATTGTTGGAGAAGCCTGTGACATAAGATTTTCAACTGCATAATTACTCTGTAGCTATGTCAGATTGACAATAAAGAACCTTGAACCTTGAACCTTGTTGGCGCTTGTTCCTCTTGCCCTCTCTGGTCTTTTCTTTTTCGTTGTTTTGTTTTCGCCTTGTCTATAACGCCAACGCAACACCTTGCGCTTCAATAAAACTGCTAAAAGCATGTTAAATGTACACGTGTACATTAAATGCTTTGTTTTAAATTATAAATCAGGGGAAAGGCATTGAGCTGAACAAAAGTAGACCCAACTTTTCATGTTGGTCCAAATATGAGGATTTTTGTTTCACGTCACATTTTGTCATCTAAAGAAAAACACATTTAAAACACTTGGCTTCTTACTTTCAGGGATGTTTTGCTGGTTTACAACAAATGTTAAGTGGTTTCAAACTTAAAGGCAATATGAGTTAATTTACTGTCACATTGCATTTTCAACACAGCAGCAACTACACTTTGCTTCTTTGGTAATTGAGTAGTGTGTTGTGTTCGGTCGGGTGACATACTGTATGTTTATGTAGATGAGGAGATGCAGTTTAATTTTGAACTAAACATAAATACATGAGGATACATACTTTGAAATGGTGTTGAGTCGAACATCTTTCACAGATTTGACGTTTGCAGTGTGTTCACAGCTGATGGAGGCTGACGGAGTCACGGTCAGATTCTGAGGCTGAATCACCTTGAAACCTGATAACAGAAAAAAATCCAGCAACGAGAAAAACACGTCACACTCATGAGCTGACTTTCCTTTTGTTAGTCCACTTTTATAAGAAAACTATTCAGACAACATCTCATTGCTTTTAAGAAGTTAATTTTCTCTGTCAGGACTATTTTTCACACTGAAGTGGGAATTCCGCCAGTAATTCACACTTCTACACCGCATCAACAAATCCCTCTTTCGCATCTTTTTTTAAACATTAATCAGTGTTCAATTTATTTTAAAGTTCAGTATATTAATATTCTGACTGCTGCTGCTTTGTGTCAGAAATACAAATGAGTAGACATGGGTTAGGGTTAGTCAAATGTCGAAAGCATTTAGAAAAACGATTGGTTGCAGTTACATTGGATCATTAGATGAATTATTAATATTATACCATAATTATCATAACAGAACATACAAAAACAAGTCTTAAACGTGACTGCGTAGTTGATGGTGACTTACCATGGCTCGGGTGGAAGATGAAGGTCAGATAAATTGTGAAGATGATGAAGAAGCTGCAAGCTGTCCTCTTTTCTGCCATCTCTCACACTTTGGAGAACACCGGCAGCACAGAGTAAAGACATGAACTAACATCGCAAACACTTCATTCTGGTGACAAGGTTTTCATTAGACAGGAAATAGGAAGTTTTGAGGTTGGACTTTCATGTTGGTTTCTGTGGTGCCAGCACTTTATTTCTGTGATGACTCCACAGCTGTCAGTCAAACTGTTTGTGTATTGTTTCTGTGGTTGGAACTCTTTCCTCCCATCATGCAGCAGCGTATTTTCACCAATTTCTTTTACAGATCAACAAGAAATGTAAATGACAGCACTTCCTGCACAGCAGAAAATAACATATTTGTGTTATTCAGTTCAGAACCGACAGGTAAGCGGGCACAATGTTGATGTTTGACTTTTTCTACTGGAGTCTGCAAAGTTTAATGCAGGCTTTTTAACAGTAGAAACACTGTTTCTAGCACCTAAAATAAGCTCTTCCTCATAAAATCCTGAAACAGTTTAGGTACTTTGTTGATGTATAGTATCTACCCAATAACACCAAACATTATAAATATACTGTATTCTAGCAATATGATGCCACAACAGGGTACAGAGCAAAAAGCCAAACACGTCGTCTCTATCCACAGCGACTATTTATTAACTGATGAGTAAAGTGACAGGAATCAAAATGAAAACTATGGCCAAAATGTGGTAATCATGTAGATCGTTTTAAGGGCGAAAATGTACGAATTTAATGTTTTTCTTACACTATTACATGTCGCTTTTTAGATGCTTTTTAGACACTTTTACCAAAACCAACTAACATACACTCAATACTCTGGGCAATCCCCACAGGAGCAATTTGGGGTGTCTTGCCCAAGGACAGAGCGACATGTTGTCTGCAGTGGGGATTGAACCAGTGCTCTCCTCATCCGAAGATCAGCACACTAATTGTGAATGTAACATTATATAAAATGTTGGACGTTTGTAAAAGAGCCGTAACAAATGATTTGTAAATTGTAGCATTTTGCTCTGGGAAATATAAAGAGCATGTCTCCTAAAACTGATGTTTATCCGGACTTGTTATTTTTTAAATGACACTAATGAATCTACAATCTACAAGTTTTCTTTAAATTAAAACACATGTGTAACTAAGAGCAACATTAGTAAGATTCTCAAGGAAACAGACTAAATAATGACCGATGACTCACTTGTGTCATAGGTGTCATAGGTGTCATAAGTGTGTGGCCGTTTTCTTCATCTGTTAAGAAACTGCAGCCCTCTTCCTGTACTGGGTTATTTCAGGACATATCTCTTCAACAAAAAAAATAGAATAGACAAATAGAAACCACAGAGACAATCAGTATTAGAGTCTGTGAGAGAAGATGAGATTAGGAGCGTTTTGTCCATTTGTTGTTAAAAGAAATGTTTGTGATTAGATGCAAGATTGTCAGTAGGCATACAAGAGTTTAAATACGGAGGACACACTGCCAAAGAAACACAAATGTATCAAGGCGAGACAAAGCACTCGTTGAGGGGGCAACTCTGAATGTTGTGTTCAATAACCACAACCAACATCCTACTTATTGTCCATATAAAAGGGCCCTAGTATACTTTTGAGGGTTTTCTCCTCAGTCCTCATTTCCTGTAGTGTGTCACAGTGTATAGGTGCATGTAAATGTTCTGCAAAGGCTCAAATGTGTACTCCTTTAACATAGCAACATCACTACTGTATGTAATACTTGCGCTTCTATTGGCTAGCTCTCCAACATATTGTACGTGATAGGCTAATGGGCGGGACATCTCTAAGCGGTTGACCAATAGGAGGCGTGTGGCGCAGTGGGTAGGCCCTTGGTGTTGGGATCAGGGGGTCACAGGTTCAAACCCCACTGCAGTCAGCATGTCGTTGTGTCCCTGGGCAAGACACTTCACCCCAAATTGCTCCTGTGGGGATTGCCCACAGTATTGAGTATGTAAGTCGCTTTGGATAAAAGCGTCTAACAAGTAACATGTAATGTACCAATCACAACAGAGCCGGCCAGCTAACCAATCAGAGCAGACTGGGCTCTGGTTTCAGACCGAGGGTGAAAAGAGGTGCTGCAGCACAGGCAGTATGAGAAAAATAAAGTGCTTTTTAAACATTAAACAACACATGTCACAGTAGAGACACTAAATACAAATATCAATATAATAATAATAAAAGCATAATATGTCCTCTTTCACATCTTTGCCGAGTGCAAAAGGCTGTCTGCCTCAGTCATGCATTTTCCATTCTGCCTCTCTCGTGGTTTTTGTCTCATACGTCCTTGGAGAAATCGGAAAAAAGCATCTCCGTTTTCGTCATGGAATTAGTTGTAAAATGACTTGAACCGAATGGAATTGATCTCTAACTGCTTCTTAATCCAAAATGAAATAATAAGAGGCAGATTAAAATGTCTTATTTACCTGGTTACAAAAGAATATTTATGTTTTGAAATGTGAGTTCCCTAGGCTTAATGATATCCTTGTCATTGTGCCTCCTCTTTCAACTAGGCTTTACATTGACAGGAGAGATAAACATGTGTTTTGTATTGCTGTCTGCACATAAGATTTCATTTGAAGGAAAAACTGAATTTCAATGAGGTTACAGAAAAAGAAAATCGTAATTGTATTTGCTTTATCTGTATGTGTCAGTCCTTTTGCTTTATGTGCATGCGTCCATTTTCCATCTTTATCAGCAGATTATGTTGTGGAGTCTGCAGTTAGTTCACATCCTGTTTATCAGAGTGTGTGCTTTTCACGTCTTTGCGTGAGACAGATAGAAACCACAGAGACAATCAGTATTAGTGTCTGTGAGAGAAGATGAGATTACTGTAGGAGCGTTCTGATTATCCTTTTGTTGTTAACAGCCTGTGTTTCAGTCTTCTTTGCTTGCTTGTAATCTTGCTTGTTTCCCTAATAATTTGTAAAAAGTCAGTATTTAAAAGTCTCGTGCCCTCATTGGTCATGTGCGCGTTCGTGTGTGTTGGAGGAGGGGCTCTGTAAGGAAGTGGCAGATTTTCTCCGGTTGTGTATTTTCAAATTCTAGCGATCTCGAGCCGGTTTCTCAAACTTACCAACCCTACCTTTAAGTACAGTAACGAAGTATTTGTACTCCACTACTTCCCACTTCTGACCGCAGCCAACCAAAGTTTGTACTTGCTAACGTAGCTTCTTCTGCCCCTTTCAATGTGAACAGAAGAGACACCATGTGTTAGCCTCATATTTAAAAAAGATCACGTCTACCCTATCTTTATGAAAGCCAGCATGTCACTCTTCATGTTTTGCCTTGAAACATGGCTGTCCTGGCGTATCATGGTCTGACGAAATGTCCTACAACCTTCTGATAAAGCACAACCTGATTCTATCTGACACACTTGTGGTATGTCCATAAAGACAGAGACAGGAAATGACTACAGACTGAGAGTCACTGTGGCCGGGATGCTGCTGTCAGAAACCTGAGAGTCACGTCAGTATCACAACTATGGCGACTTTTATCAGATGGAAAAACAACCCAATAACCAACGTTTTATAACTCAATCTGATTACTGCTATGGATCATACTTGTATCTCAAACAGGTGCAGTCTGCTGTAAATGTCTTGAATTGATTGACGGGTCCAGATGTTTTCAAAATCTTTGTCTGAGGAACTTTCCATTACATTACATTACATGTCATTTGTTAGACGCTTTTATCCAAAGCGACTTACATACATTCAGTACTGTGGGCAATCCCCACAGTAGCAATTTGGGGTGAAGTGTCTTGCCCAGGGACACAAGGAAATGCTGACTGCAGTGGGACTCGAACTTGCTATCCCCTGATTCGAAGTCCAGCACACTATTCACTGAGCCACAGCCTCCCTTTCCACGGACATATTTATTTTGTTTGTTTTTGGGTTAAGGTTTGGGATTTCAATTCCCAAATGAATCCCATTCTTATATTATTTCTCCCAAAAAACACAATCATTTAGCCAAGATAATCTAATATTGCTGTTAGACATCACTTCAGATTAAACCAAATAGATATACAAAAGCTAGAAGGTGGACCTATCTGAAGCTTGAGGATTTTTTGCGAGCAAGGCACCAACAACCAATCACATGAATCTCCCGCCCCCGACATACGAAGCAAAAAAGCCCGAAGTAAACTGGATATAAACTCCCCAAACAGGCGAAAACCTACCACTGTCTCTGCCACCTCCCTCCATGCCTGGCTCCTCCGGTTTGTATCCCGGTAGGTAAATAGGGACTGGTCATAAAGCACCGGGTGATTCCCTACCGCTAATTTCTCCTCAATTTTTTGGAATATGAGGAAATGACCTACGGTATGTCTCTCCCAGCATAAACGGGATTTGATTGGCTGACGCTTCCACCTCAGCTTCAAAAGTTGAACATTGCTCAACTTTGAATCCTGAAAATCCTGAAAATCTCCGCTCTGCTGCCCACAATGCAGTTCGGCGAAAAGTGAGGCAAAGTGACGTCACCCCATTCAAAGTGAATGGGCAGAAGCGTTCCAAGATTTTTTTAACGCTGCTGTGTGGACGGGCCGTAAGCCTCAAGAGCATGAACGTGCGGTGCTGTTACGTGTACGCAAATTGACGTGCTTGATGTGAACGAGCATTTTGGGGGGCATGGTTAAAGTTGCGCATCCGCTATGAGCGCACATACGGGTACTTCTCAGGCATGCCGGGTAATCTGTGACGTTTCGCTCTCTCAAAAGTTGGGCCATTTTATCATCATGCGCGAATGAGCAACTCTCATAGGAATGAATGAGGCCCCGCCTCCCACGCTGTATCCAGTTCTTATTATACATCCATGACAAGCACACGTTTATTTCCATGCAACTCTCTGATTGGTCTGGTGTCATGCCTCTGTTGCATTCACTGAACACGGGAAATTACAGTGCTGCCGTCCTCTCTTGTGTCATGATGAGGTTCACGTAAAGCACGGTTAATGTATTATATTATTGAGGGAGAATTGTCCGGGGCTACATAAAAAACATTCGGGGCTAAAGCCCCGGATGCCCAGGCCAGGCGACGCCACTGTGTGACACGCTACAAAAAAGTACTTGCTGAGATTAAAAACTCTGTTGAAAAATAATGTAGTTTAATGAAATCTGGGATGAT